TTTTAATTTCATTGGCAAACAGCTTAATTTATTTCTTCAACATGGTATAAAAATCGTAATTATAAATATCATAATTATATATTGATTATCTTAATACTTTGTGCTGCGGTTAAAATAAAGAATATCTTTTTACGTTCATAAAATCTTCACATTAATGTCGGCGCAACAAGTGCACGATGTACTCATAAACCATTTTATCCATTTAACGATCACGCCCTAATCATTCTTTGAATTAATGATTCCGGGCATCATAAGTATATGATACGGAAAACACAGATTGTGTTCGCTTCTTTACGTAAAGCATGCCCTACATATTTAACAGAGTGCTAAGCTTATATGAAAGTGTGAACTTTCAACTTTACAAAGAACATACACCCATATTAATATTAAAATCTTCTTCTATTTTTTACACGTTGTTTACCATTGACTTTTCTCACTATAAATATTTCTCAGGTATAGCAAGAGTCATAAAATTGTATAGTGTTCTATATTCTCAAGAAATTCATTTAAAACAATCTCGCGGAATAGGAGAAGACTATCCTTTATATATTGATCGTGTGATACATGTTTTAATAAATTTTTGAATAAAAATTTACACAATTTATTAAAAAAAATTTCAACGTTCTATATATTCCGAGAAAATTAGCAGGCTTAAGCTTTAAGACTAGGAAGAAAATATCAATAACTGGAAAAGTACAGTACATTGATAATGTAGCAGCCATTTAATCTATAGATTACTATGCTTATAGACGACAAAAGCGAATGACCGCAGCAGTGGTTGATTTTATCATTGACTATTGTACGCGGAAGAATACAAAGTGTGATGCTATGCACATTTGCTTCACGCGATTTCTGTTTCAATCAAAAGCGAGCATTTATGATGTACAGCTACGAAATAGGAAATCCTTTTTTGCAAGAATTCAGATTGAGGACATAAAATCATTTTTTATTAGGAAATCCAATAACAAGTTTTAATAAAGAACAAAATAGAATGGTTTTTTACAATAATATTCATAAAGCTTTCGGATTGAAATGTACATTTATTATGTTATTATTGTGCATCTAATCCTAAATATAATTAATTAATGTTATTAAATATCATACTCATTTGAAAAAATATTAAACAAATCAAATTATATATAATTATTATTCCATCATAAATCAATGTAATAATAACAAACTAACAAGTTTTATATAAATATATTAAATATTATATCATAAAATACCTATAAAAACAAGCAACTTATTCGTACAGTTTTAAAGCACGTGCAACAATACAACCTTGTCAAAGAACAGTCTCTCTGACTATTTATTGGTCACTATATTTAGCATAAAGCTCTTTGGATGTTACATAATAAAATATCCAGCACGTGATATTGATTAGGATAAAGAAACACTTTGCGTTACATTCGGACAAGGCATTCGATCATGAATTAACAATAATAATCTCTCATATAAAACTACTTTAAAAGAAAGAATGTCAATTCTTTATAAAATAATTAAGAGATGAATGGGGATACATACACGTATCCTACACACACGTTTTTCCATAGTATGTGAAACATACGTATGTCATATCTCACATATATATGTTATAAAAAAATTGTGATATCAGATAAAAGTATATCATTGATTTCAAGTCAGCTAGAAAAATAAAAGAAAGAAAAATGAAAAACGCAAATTCATAAATATATATATATATGCGTGAGTGTCCTACTTATTTTATTGATTTTCTAACTGCGAATATCGGCGTCCTAAACATAATTACACGCGATGTTTCACGCGAGAAATCAGAGAGAGAAACTTCCTCAAGGATTTCCACAACACATTTATATGAAATGTGATAAAAAGAAAATCCATATTTTCCATCCAATTAAAATTCATTTTTAATCTCTTCTTCTAAAAAGATTAATGAAAATTTTTTATGTGATTAGTTATTGTAAAACAAATTTCTTTCTTTATCGAAGTTCTCTGAAAAATAGCACAAAATACGAAACTGATGGCACGATAATGCAAGTACTATAAGTACTACCGACAATCGTAAATAACCGTAGGTCTACGGTTTAGGTCACTTTATGGTATTATTTGGGTAGGTCATCCAATCAGACGATTATACTCATGCAAGGAAGGCAAACGAAAGAGGCAATCCCATTATTACACCACCGATAAAATCACAGACAAATTTCTACTTGTTAAACGTCACTTATTATTTTTAGATTTTGACGATCAATCTATTAAATCAATATTTTCATAAAATATATATTAGAAGCTTTGTCGATAATGATTATGATTAATTATAAATTTATGTTAGAATATATAAAATTAATTGACATTAAAATTATGTAAATCTCACATATATAGAAATTATGTCATTCGTGTAAAAATTTGTATATTCAGAGAAAACAAAATAGTTCTGGCGACTACTTTGAAATTTAAGTATCAGCAACTAAGTTTATGGAGTTATAAAAATAAAAGTGGTACCAAGAATTATCAAAATATAGTCAATATAATATTAGATGTTAACATTATTTCACTATTTGTATGTAAACATTAAATATTATTATAATAACTGAATAATTATAATATATGTATAATTATTCAAACTTCAATACAATAATAAATGATAAATAATAATAAATAATAATAAATGACAATTATATTTTTTTGATTTGGACAAATATTTTTCTGAAATCAGTCATTATGCCATAATTTTTTGTATCAATAATATATTTTTTATTAATAAACCTATTTTGCATTTCTATTTTCTTGTCTCTCTCTATTATCTATTATATTTAATATAATAAATAGCATTATTCTTATTATAACTTTATAATACATAATTGAGATGCTATTCTTTTTTTCAATTTTCTAATTATTGGTACTTTTTTCTGAGTATATAATTTTTATATTTTTTTAGAAGTAAGCTATTCAAATCATTATTTTGTTTGCTGAGAATAGATTTTTAGTTAGTAAATAATCATATAGATAAATATTGGATATAAAATATTCACAAACAGTAAAAAAATTATTGCGATAAATATGATTGTATAAGAAATATATAAATACAGTGTGTAATTAAAATTCTATTAAAAGAGCAAAAATAACCCAATACAATATATGATAAAATTATTTTACTCTAATTCACTCAAAATAGATTGTAAAAAGAGAGGAAGAAAATATCATTATAGAATATGATTCATATTCATATTAGATCCGTTTATACTCTGCTCTGAATTTTCATGTACACTATTTGCATAAGTCGCGTGATAACAAAATACCTTACTCATCCCAATTCATTTTCCTACCTATATATATATATATATATATATATATACGTCT